GAAGGAAAGAAGAAAAAGTTAGAAGAATGCAGTAACTTGGACTTACAAGTTGAAAAAAAACCTTGAAGTGTGACACATCTGTGGAAACTGCACATAATGTTGGAGAACTACTTGATTTTCTCTATCGGATTAACCACTTTTTACAAAAATCTTAAGCTTTTGGAAAAAGTTATTGATAGCTGGAAAAAATTTTCCAAACAAGTGGGAATGGAACGATTGTTTGATTTGCTATAGACGACAGTGAAATTCACTCTGCAACAATTTTTCAAATCTTTCTTGTTACTACTGAAAGATGCAGACAACAAAACGTTCTCTCGTACAATTTTTCTGACTTATTTATATTTATCTGCACTAACTTATTTGGGAGAAGCAAAAAAAAGGAAAAAAAAAGAATGAAAACCTATCATCTGTAAAACATCATTTTGGGCACACTGAAGTTTTGAGTTTGACTGATAAAAAAGAACTTGTTCAATGAAATTCTGAAGTGCCATCATTTAAAAGAAACATATCCCAAAGTTAGTCGTCCTGAACTGTCCTGAAAAATTCTTGCATTCTTTGTTTGCCTTCCTTCGCCTTTATCGCTAAAGTAAAACCAACGACGGGATTTTCACTTCGAGGGTTAGTATTTAAACACTTTTTATTCCTCCTTCGTCTTCCCCTTCTTTTTCTTACTTTACTTTTCGCTTGGGAGCATTCTAGATTCTAAAGCTATCTTAAAACTTTAACAAGCAATAAAGTCATTAAATAACTGTAAAATCGGTGGTAAATTAGTTCAGAACAACTACACAAGAAAATCTAATTGCATGTAGACGACAAGTCGTAAAATTGAGGTTTATCAACGGTTTTTCTTTTTGTAAATGGTGGCAGAATTTCGCTAGTCGGATTCACTTTGCTCTAGAATCTGCAGTTTGAAGTTTCATTCATACGTTAGATTAATAATAGTTTATCGTAAATCTCTGGCGACTTGAAAAACGGTCAATCAAACTGTATAAACCTTTAACTTTAGCAGCTGTCCACAACTTTAGCACCACTGTATGGATTTCAATGCTACAGCCCTCGTAGTTACCACAGATCCACTTTGTTGGCCGGAGTTCTTTAATACTGTACAGTAATACGGATACAGTTCTTCAGGTAGTATTCTACTGATGTTGAATATATAAAGCACACAAATGGCTAATAGAATAACCGGAGTTTCAGTAATACCTGTTTACTAAAAGGTTATTGAGACTGAAGATCTATTCCAACAGTATAGGTGGTTGGAAAGAGAACATCGTGTGTTTTTGAAAGAGCAAAAAACACTTCATTCAATTCCATAGTTTTTTTTTTAGCAAAATTTCTCTTTTTTTTTTTTAGAGTTGCTAAAAATCGATCTAACGAAGTACAAAAAAAAAAAACTACAACAGAGTACACTGCTTGTCTTTCTTCAAGTTTTTCTCCTGAAATACGTAAATATTTATACCTCTGTCTTTTCTTTCCCGTATTTTGGGCTTAAAAACTATCAGTTTAGGAGGTTCACCTGAAGCCCTAGAACGGTTAATGTTCTTTTCTGTTATTCATTTTTTTCTGAACGGCAAAGGTAGAGTTTTGCACAGCTTTATGTAATCGCAACAAATGAACAACACTGTGCGGTTCAGGATGTACCTTTAATTTATTGGATATTCATTAGCCAAAATTCAGCTGTCAAATTCTGTACCTTACTGCTAACAACACCATTTTTCTTTTTTGACTGTATTTCGCTACTGTTGTACTACTAGTATTCGCTGTTATGGTCCAGTTTGGACGCAAAAAGGAGATAGAGAGCTGGAAGATAGAAACAGGGAGTAAGGGACGACGGAAGGGAGAAAAGGGAAAAAGCCTCACTGCTGCTGAACTGGTATAATTTGGCAAGAAACAAACGGCAAATGTCAAACTGCTTGCATGGATTCTCTGATCTGCGTATTTATTTAGGTAGCGTTTGGTAGTTGTTGATATTAATGGCTGCAAAAACGATGATGCTCTGTAACTAAAATATTTACGATGACAATAAATTCCAAATTTCATTTATACTTTATTTGAGACTGGTGTAATAATGATAACTGCCTAATGAACACCCAACAAAAGCCATATAAGTGTACTGAAGTAGGAAAAAAACTAATGGACATCTGAGAAATCTGATACATTGGCGATCAACCAGTGATAGAAGGTTGTCGGCAGCGATAGCTTTTTTTTGCTGTAGTTTACTGTCTTACCGGTAGGCGGTATGACATGCGAAATGTCTGATGTTTGATGCCGTTTGAAAACAGTGCTTAAGGAACAGATTATGATGAGGATGTTTTGGCGGTGTTCCTCATTGTAGTACTGCTACGGCTTTTGTTGCTGTTGCTGCTGCGGTTTTTGCTGCTGCTACTACTATTATTATTATTGCTGTTGCTGCTGCGGTTAGTGGTGGTGGACGTTGCGGGGAAGGGGGGGGGGAGGATTTGCAGGTTGGTTGCCCGTTAATTGCACTGTTGCCCAGTCTGCCTGAATGATATTCGTTGAATCAGTTTTCCGAGGAAATGCACGTCTTTTTTGAGAACTTTTTTT